AACAATGACAACAACAACAACAACATCAACAACAACAACAACAATGACAACAACAACAACAACAACAAATAACGCTGGTGCTTCTGAGAAAAATTACAGTAATGATAGTATCAATAATGATGAAAATAACGATAATAATAAGGATGATAACAACAATGACAACAACAACAACAACATCAACAACAACAATGCCAACAACAACAACAACAACAATGGTAATAATGACGATGATAATGTCATATCATTAGTTGATATTGATAACAATGATAGTATACATGAAACTGATAATAACGCTGGTGCTTCTGAGAAAAATTACAGTAATGATAGTATCAATAATGATGAAAATAACGATAGTAATAAGGATAATAGTAATAATAATGATGATAACAATAATAATAATAATAGCAATAATAATAATAACAGTAATAATAAGGATAATCACAATGATAATGATGATGATAATAATAAACATAAACGTAAACATAAACATAAACATAATAATAACAATATTAGTGTTAACAATATAATAATAATAAAACTAACAATAATGATAGTAATAACAACAGTAATAATAATAACGATGATGATGTTAATATCAATCATACTAACAGTCATCAAAAAACAGCATCATATATTCTCGTCATTATCATAAATATCTCTCTGGTTCGCCAAGAGTAGACGAGTAAAAACGCCATCATGTTAAGTGCACTGAGAAGGATGAATAAGTGTGGCAATTTATTCGCCATTTCCATGTATTTGAGATTTACAGACGTCGTTATAGATAACTTAAGGAGAGAGGAGACAAATGCTGCTCGAATACTTTTTGAGCTTGTTTTTCTTACATGCATACGGTTTTTTTTTTTTTTTAGTTTGTTCGTGTGCGTGTGTTTGCTTGTGTGTGTATTTGTGTGTGTGTGTGTTTGGGGGAGTGTGTGGGTTTGTTTGTATTTATGTTAATGTTTGTGTGTGTGTGTGTGTGTGTATGTGTATGTGTTTGTGTGTGTGTGCGTGTGTGTGTATGTGTTTGTGTGTGTGTGTGTGTGTATGCGTTTGTGTGTGTATGTGTGTATGCGTTTGTGTGCGTGTGTGTGTGCGTATGTATATATAATACTAGTAATGATAACTTTTATAATGATAAATAATCACAGGAAGTTTAATGAAAATACTTTTTCTTTTCTACACCAGGCAAACTAGCTTAATATTCAGTCTAAAATCAGGCACACCAAAGTCATTAAAGTCGAGTCAGTAAGTTGCCTCTGCTTTCAAAAAAATATAAAACACTTTTATTTGCTTTTACTTCCAAACGTTTGTCATGTCTGAAGGAGTGTGGTCGTGATACTGACATTCAAATCAGAATTTCATTTATCCATCTATCTTATCTATGAATTTTTGGGTGACATTTAAGAATGGTATTTATCTTTCATATTTAATCTGTGTTTGCGAATCGTTGTAATATTACGCAATATCATTATTCTATGATGTTTCACATTTATTTCATAACTATTATCAAGTGTATATATTGTCTATTTGGTTTTCCATCGTCTCTTTGGCAGTTACTAATAATATAAAAGAAAGAGAAAGAAAATGTTAAGATATTGTACTTTCATCACCATAGCATGTTGTTGTCTTAAAGGCTAATACCATAAAGCCTTTTAAAGTTACTTTCGTTTAACTGCGTGTTGTTTTCAAGGACAGACACGCTAATTAGTAAAAACACTAATTAGTTTAAAACACGATGAGGATGTAAATATGATGTAAACAGATTCACAGAGTTTCGTTGCATCCAATTATTGTTAGCTTCTTTAATAATAATGAAACTGATAAGGATAACATCGAGAACACTGATAATCATTTTTGTTAATAAAATATCTAGCATTTGCAATATGAATAATGGTCTTTTTTAAAATGAACCTTTAAATAGCAAGCTTCTATACATGCTTGAATTTCATGAATATTGTTTTCATTATAATGAAAATGTTATAATAAACGGCTTCGAATTCAAATCTAATCCTCCTAGTGTACGTTGTTCCCTTCCTTCATGTTGCATGTAAACGGTATGAAGGATATAATCATTTTCTGTCATGCTTAGTCCTACATAACATGATGGATGGTTTGGTCCTGAAATGTATCGTTTGTTTTCTTTAATAGGAGAAAATATACAAAAATTAATTCTTCCCGACTATATGTAAATATTGATTTTTTTTTTTTAATGGCATCTCTCGTTTTACTTTCTGGAGTAAATACGTAAATACATTGTCATAAAAATAGAAAAAAAAACCTACTATATATGAAATAAAAGTGAAGGAAACGGAACGGAAACAACACCATCTCTATTTAGAGAAGTAAAACCCAGTCAGTTGTGACCGTTAAAGAAACGTTAAAACCGTTAAAGGAGCTGAATTCATTTTTTCCTAAATGGAAAAGACAGTAACCTTATATTAATTAATTACACGGACCTCTGCCCCCTTTAATTACATATATAGTTGAAACTCCATTGGTTGAGGTTGCAGGGATAAGGAAAGAAGTAAGCTTTCTATTTGTAAACGGCACATCTATCACTATTAGTATAAATATCAAGACCAGGAGTCACAGTCTATCTACAACTGATATTAAGCAAATACAGACTTCTTTGTCCATCAGTGAATTAATTATACCTTACTTCGATTAACCGCATGTTTCTATGGCATTTCCCTAAGGTGCACTGTGGTTTGCAAGTCGACACTTTTCTTGGATCAAACGCCACAATTTTGACTAAAAGCTTCAGCGTTTGGCAAGTTTACACCATGATTTCCATTTCTCCTGTTATAATACCATGTCAAATCCACTGAAGTTTTCTTTGTAACTTAGAAGCTAGAGATGCCTTTCACCTGTTTCAAGGTGTTCATTCTAATTGTTCTTCAAAGACAACATATTTTCCAAGAGCATATGATCATTTTTACATATTACTGAATTACTTTTCCTATAAACACGATTTTCTAATCCAGTCATGCTATTCCATTAGCAGAACTGCACTGGACACTCACTTAGTAAAAAGTAGTTAAATAAAAGAAATACATCAATAATACATTATTGGAGACTTAAGTACATGCGGGAAAGCCTTGTAAGCAACAACGTTGCAGCTGTGCAACTCTACAGAAAGATGACTAGACCACGCACATGATCCCTCTTGCTCTGAATAAATACACAAAGCGCATCCAAACAGTACATTCTCTACGAGCACACTATAAACTCTATATATTTTCTTTACCGATCTCTCTTGGCATTTTACTCTCATCATACATTTCATTCGCCATTAAAACCTGAATGAATGGTGGTTGGCTTCCTCCTTGTTTTATTCATACCAAAAGTGTCACCAGGATTGTGACTAAAAGCCGAGGTGCCATAAAACACAACGAGAAAGGGAAGGGAAAGGAAAAAGAAAAGAATAAGGGCGATAAAGGAATAGATATATTACTTGTTTAAAACAACCAACTGATTCCTTTGACTGTAGTGATTCTTTCGTGCTAAGGCAACAGAGTATGTTAACTCCTAAAGAAAGGAAACTAGACAGCTGCGCCTTCCCCTATCTTGATTATATATAACGTTACTATGGTTCTATAATAAATGGTTTGTAATTTTGAGGTGAAGTTCCTACAAAATGACATCAGTAGATAATCCTTTCAGATATTCATATTGGCACAGAGGGTAGGTTCAGAATATTAATATCAACTACAACTGATTTAGATATTTTCGACAACTACCAATGATAGTGGTTAGATGAGTAACCTCCGTTGTTGACAGAGCAAGGGAAGAATGGAGAGAGAAGTCACGTCCCTTTCATATCAAGGGCCTTATGAGTGTGTGTGTGAGTGTGTGTGTGTGTGTGTGTGTGTGTGTGTGTGTGTGTGTGTGTGTGTGTGTGTGTGTGTGTGTGTGTGTGTGTGTGTGTGTGTGCGTGTGTGAGTGTGTGTGTGTGTGTGTGTGTGTGTGTGTGTGTGTGTGTGTGAGTGTGTGTGTGTGTGTGTGTGTGTGTGTGTGTGTGTGTGTGTGTGTGTGTGTGTGTGTGTGTGTGTGTGAGTGTGTGTGCATATGTTTATATATATGTATATGCATAAGTATGTTTATATGCACATTTATGTATGTATGTTTGTATATATGTAAGTTTACATATGTACAAAATAAGTTTACATATATATACTCTCTCACACACACACACACACACAAACACACACACACACACATATATATATATATATATATATATATATATATATATATATATATATATATATATATATATATATATACATATATATATATATATATATATACATATATATATATATATATATATATATATATATATATATATATATATATATATATATGTATATATATATATATATATATATATTAATATATATATATATATATATATATATATATATATATATATATATATATATATATATATATATATATATATATATATATATATATATATACGTACACGCATAAATATATGAATATATATAGATGAATATATATATATATATATATATATATATATATATATATATATATATATATATATATATATATATATATATATACGTACACGCATAAATATATGAATATATATATAAATATATATATATATATATATATATATATATATATATATATATATATATATATATATATATATATATATATATATATATATATATATATATATATATACATGAGTATGTGTGCCCGCGTGCAGTGGTGTTCTTGCTTATGTAGGAACAGCATGAATCCCTATTGGGTCTGGAGATTGATTTCGGAGAAATCAAATAGATTACCTGGAAGCCGTACGATCTCGCACGCATCTGCATCAGCTTAGTGACAGCTAATATTATGTCAGAATTCACGATTTCAGAGCACTTGCCAATACGTACCTAAAGCGAGATCCATTTAGCAATCATATAGCAATTATGTCATGTTATACTAATAAGCAGGTTACATTAGACGGAAGAAATAAAGCCAAGCGAAGTATTCGAGACCTTCCAGCTGCGTTTCGATTCTGTCATGCAACTTTATGAAGCGTCGGAATGTATGACATTTTATTAATCTCCTTGTGTTATGGAATTATTTTTGTTTTGATGATCTTGTCTGATTACGTATTTTTTATGATTAGTCTCTATTTCTTCCTTAGTTATTCTTCATATAAATATTATAAGATTATTATATTATTCTCCTTTGTTCCTGATTATTATTTCTTCAATTAGTTTTGTTATTGCAAGCGTGGGAATCTTGGACAGTAAACGAAGAAAGAGATTTGCATCTTATTGTGAACAAATATACACTAGTCATATGGTAGTTTGCTTATCAAAAGTTTTTTTCTTATTGGTCATCATCACCATCTTCATCATCATAATTATCCTCCCCGTCATCAACATCATCATTATGATCATCATATTACAGTCATTACGATTACCAAAAAATCACCACCATCTCGCCCAAAATTCTTAATATCATCCATTCAGCAAATCTTCCCCACCACGGATTCTCACACCCATTCTCCGTCTCCCTTTTCCTTCCCTTCTCTAATCATTTTCTTCTCCTCTTTCCCTCCTCCCCCCTCCTCTCCTCCTCCTTTCCTTCTTCCCCCATTCTCTCCTCCTCCTTCCCTCCTCCCCCCATCTCCTCCTCCTCCTTCCTTTCTCTAATAATTTTCTCCTCCTCTTTCCCTCCTCCCCCCATCCCCTCCTCCTCCTTCCCTCCCCCCCCCCATCCTCTCCTCCTCCTTCCCTTCTCTCCCATTCTCCCCTCCTCCTTCCCTCCTCCCCCCATCCCCTCCTCCTCCTTCCTTTCTCTAATAATTTTCTCCTCCTCTTTCCCTCCTCCCCCCATCCCCTCCTCCTCCTTCCCTTCTCCCCCCCATCCTCTCCTCCTCCTTCCCTCCTCCCATCATTCTCACCTCCTCCTTCCCTTCTCCCCCCATTCTCTCCTCCTCCTTCTCTCCTCCCCCTATTCTCTCCTCCTCCTTCCCTTCTCCCCCATCCTCTCCTTCTCCTTCCCTTCTCTCCTCCTCCTTCCCTCCTCCCCCCATTCTCACCTCCTCCTTCCCTCCTCCCCCCATTCTCTCCTCCTCCTTCCCTTCTCCCCCCATTCTCTCCTCCTCCTTCCCTCCTCCCCCTATTCTCACCTCCTCCTTCCCTCCCCTCCTCCCCCCCATTCTCTCCTCCTCCTTCCCTTCTCCCCCCATTCTCTCCTCCTCCTTCCCTCCTCCCCCATTCTCACCTCCTCCTTCCCTCCTCCCCCTATTCTCACCTCCTCCTTCCCTTCTCCCCCCATTCTCACCTCCTCCTTCCCTCCTCCCCCTATTCTCACCTCCTCCTTCCCTTCTCCCACCATTCTCACCTCCTCCTTCCCTCCTCCCCCTATTCTCACCTCCTCCTTCCCTCCTCCCCCTATTCTCACCTCCTCCTTCCCTCCTCCCCCTATTCTCTCCTCCTCCTTCCCTCCTCCCATCATTCTCACCTCCTCCTTCCCTCCTCCCCCTATTCTCACCTCCTCCTTCCCTCCTCCCCCTATTCTCACCTCCTCCTTCCCTTCTCCGCCATTCTCACCTCCTCCTTCCTTCCTCCCTCAGAGAAGAAGCAGAGGTGCCCGAAGATCCTGAGGGACAACCTGGTGGTGCGCATTCGCTCCGCCGGGTGGATTGCCAAGCTGAAATGCCGCCGCCACTTCACCATGGTGGAGGGCGACCCCAACCTCACCTGCGTCAGGAACGTGTGGAGGGGCAGGATCCCCAAGTGCATCAGTAAGTTTTATTTAGCTTTATTTTAGCTTTAGTTTTCTCACTATTTGTTTGGTTATTTGTATATGTTTATCTATTTGCCTATCCTTCTCAGTACACAAACACACACACACACACACACACACACACACACACACACACACACACACACACACACACACACACACACACACACACACACACACACACACACACATATATATATATATTTATTTATTTATTTGTACACACACACACACAGATATATATAAGCACAAACAAAATACAAATACGTACAGACGTGTACCTATGAGTAAATGTTTGTGTATGCATGAGTCGTACATACGGCTATTTCCATATACTAAGTGGCAGCAGTAGTATCAGTAGCAGCAGTCGCAGCCGCAGCAGTGGAAGGAGTAGTAGTTGTAATAATAATAAAAGTAAAATTAGTTGTGGTGATAGTAGTAGTATTAGTGTAAGTAGCAGTAGTAGTAATAGTTAAAGTAGTGTAAAAAATATATTCCATTTGTCACAGTGGTTATTCTTGTAACGACGGGCTGTCTGTTCCACTTTGCTTCTGAATTACCCCTTGTGTCCGGGGGTTAGCAACACTGGCATTGCGGGAACTGAACGCGCGTCACCGAGACCGCTATCATTGCACCACAGTAGCTTTAGTAGAAGCAGTAGTAATGGAAGCAGTAATAATAGTAGCAGTAAGTGGTAGGGATAGTAGTCGTAAAAGAAGTAGTAGTAGTAGTAGTAGTAGTAGTAGTAGTAGTAGTAGTAGTAGTAGGAGCAGTAGTATTAACAGTAATATTCGGCCTAGTAGCAATAGTAGTAGTAGAAATAGTTGTGATCATAGTAACAAGAATGATAATGATAATAATAGCGATGTAAAAAATTACGATAATAGTAACAATAGCAACAGTGACAATGGTATAATACTAACAACAATGATATAATAACAAACAACAACAAAACCATTTGTTTTAATAACGAAAAGACAATTATTACGACAAAAGACAAATAGTCACAAGTTTACCAAGTGTTTTGCAATGCCTTACTGAGTCGATGTCTTTTATACAAAGGAACTGTCACTAGTGTATAACTTGAAAGAAACTTTCCCTTCCTTTTCCCGTTGTCAAAAGCTTGGTTTTATACCAGATGGAATTTGTTGAATCAGATCAATTGTGGATTTTATTAGGGCGAGAGATGAAGAAATGTAGTGATTTTCATCGACTTAGATATGGACTCATGAGAGATCGAAGCCTATTGTGATTTTATTAAATGGTCGCGATGTGGACTGAGAGTGATTTAGATGGAATGCCAACGAACCTCAATTTAAGAGTGAGAGATCAAAAAAATAATATAACGATTAAGAGGGACTGTGATAGAACCTTAATATAAGAGTGAGAGATCGAAAAATTATAGTTATTTAGATGGATTGTGATTGAACGTCAGACCGAAAAATATAGTGATTTAGATGGATTGTGATAGAAACATAAGAACGAGGGATAGAAAATAAAATATAGTGAATAGAACAGATTGTGATACAGACTTCAAAATGAGACACCGAGAAATGATAATGACAGAAAGTGAAGGTAATTCTGAAAAACGAAAGATAAAGATATCAAGAAATGCAATGATAGAAATGGCCAGCGAGTCGGAAACTTTGTAATGAAATATGAGACAGCAGTAAAATGCAGCGGCCGTTCTAAATGCAAAATAACTGAACCGATTTTTTTTTCAGCGATAGATTGGGAAAAAAATCGGGCTGATATGCTCTGGCTAAAAGAAAAGAAAAAAAAGGAAATAAATTGAAGTTCGAATAGAAAAAATATTAAGGAAAAAACTTATCTGTTTCTTTTTACCTTCATACTGATGTATAAGAAAGAAAAAAAGGAAAATAGATAAGCGGAAATTCGTACATTTTAATAATATTACACTATGTATACAACCCATGTTGGAAAATGACTTTGAAACCATACAGAGAAATGCAATCTACCGCAACTGTATGACGGAATCTACTACTACTGCCACTACCACTAGTGCTACTAATTCTCCTCCTCCTCCTCCTTCTCCTCCTTCTCCTTTTCCTCTTCCTTCTTCTTTTTCTTCTTCTTCTTTTTCTTTTCTTTTTCTTCTTCTTCTTCTTCTCTTCCTCCTCCTCCCCCTTCTCCTTCTCCTTCTCTTTCTCTTTCTCTTTCTCCTTCTCCTTCTCCTTCTCCTTCTCCTTCTCCTTCTCCTTCTCCTTCTCCTTCTCCTTCTCCTTCTCCTTCTTCTTCTTCTCCTCCTCCTCCTCCTCCTCCTCCTCCTCCTCCTCCTCCTCTTTCTTCTTCTTCTTCTTCTTCTTCTCCTCCTCCTCCTCCTTCTCCTTCTCTTCTTCCTCCTCCTTCTTCTCCTTCTTCTTCTTCTTCTTCTTCTTCTTCTTCTTCTCCTTCTCCTTCTCCTTCTCTTCCTCCTCCTCCTCCTCCTCCTTCTCATGCTCTTCCTCCTCCTTCCTCTCCTCATGCTCCTTCTCCTCCTTTTCATGCTCCTCCTCCTCCTCTTCCTCCTCCTCCTCCTCCTCCCTCTCCTCATGCTCCTCCTTCTCCTCCTTTTCATGCTCCTCCTCCTCCTCATGCTCTTCCTCCTCCTCCTCCTCTTCCTCCTCCTCCCTCTCCTCATGCTCCTCCTCCTCTTTTTTCATGCTCCTCCTCCTCCTCCTCTTCCTCCTTCTCATGCTCCTCCTCCTCCTCATGCTCTTCCTCCTCCTCCTCTTCGTCCTCCTCCTTCTACAGTAATACAGAAGACGAGCGAGGGAGGAAAAGCGAGAAAGAGAAAATGGTGGAGTTTGGAGGGTAGACTTTGATATTGGGAAGAAGGAGTTTGTTAATTCGCTTTAACATAGGGGTTTATATGTAGGTAAATGTACTCTGTGTGTGAATATGTAAATATATATATATATATATATATATATATATATATATATATATATATATATAGAGAGAGAGAGAGAGAGAGAGAGAGAGAGAGAGAGAGAGAGAGAGAGAGAGAGGAGGGACAGTGTGAGAAACAGACAGAGAGAGTCAGAGAGAGAGGCAGAGCGAGACAAAGAGACAGAGAGACAGAGACACAGAACGACAGAGAGAATGAGAGACGCCGCAAGCAAATTCATGCCCACACAGCCCTCGGGGCCTCCGAAGCATCTATGACAGATCGATATCGAGCTCATCGCCACGACACGGAGCAATTCTTTCCTTATCCCGACTTCTGTTCAACTCTTTCGGACTAAAGGGAGGGGATTTATTTGATGTCTTGCTCTCAGTGCTACGTAACGAGAAAAATTAAAAGTCTTAAAAGTTACTCAACCATTTGATTGATAGCTCGTGATGTATAGAGTCAAAGAGACGAGATATAGTGACTTCTGTTAAGGTTTATTTCTTAACTAAATGTTGTCTTTATTCTCTCTTCATGCTATTAATGATCAGATAAAGAAAAAAAAAATATAAAAAATATTTACGTATTATAATTAGCAAACCACAAACAAACGACATAAGCCATCAACAGCAATAATCATATGATAATAGATATAATAACAAAGTGTGAAGGGCCACAGAGACCACAATGACCTAGCACTCAAGCCACAGAAGAGCCACTTACGCCCTAATGCCAGTCTATTTGCATACACACATCCCACCGATCTATGTCTTATTGGTTCCTCCGGGCGCCTAAGTCCCTTGCCATTGTCCAAATTTCTTTCATTCCGCTTGAACGGCAGTCGCATGGCGCACCGTGGCGAGAGCAAAGACACCAGAGGGAGTGACGAGGGTCGTAAGTGCTGAGGAAACAGGTATTTCCTTTGTTATTGGGTGAGGTCGTTGCTTTTCAGGCACTCTAAAGGATAAAATCGAGGAAGAGTTATGGTTTTACTCCTACCATGTTACTGTATTCACACAAGGAGACTTTACGTTGGTAGATACGCAGTGATACCTATATAAATATGACTACCGGTAAGGTACAGTAAATAATCAATAAAGTTTACTCTATATCTAATCTGTATCGTAACGTTTGTTATTGCCATTATTTGACATGCTGCAGACAGTATTACAGAAACAGAGGAATAATAATGCAACTAATGTTTTTAAAACTCTGAATCGCACGTTGCATCAAAGCTTGCAATCTCGTTTTACTTCAGTCTGTGCAAACGATCTATAGTTTAGAGCTTCATGTGTAAAACTGGCTTGAGGTACGACACTTGTACTCCAGGAAGCATCTAGTTTATGATCAAAATGCATCGGCAAGCGGGCACGAAACGGATAAAATGTTAATAACTTCTTAAAGAATTCCGATAATATGGACGGAGAGAGAATCAGGCAACGGAGAAGCGAAGGATGGAGAGATAACACTCGGGGATTAGCGGGATATGGAAGGAGAGATGGGGCAGAGTGGTAATATCCTGCCAGGGAGAGGCGAGATGGGCCGATAACATCCCGATAAGGAAGAGAAGCGGGATGGCAGGTTTATGCATCGACGAGGTGAAAAGAGCTGGTCTAATGTTAGGTCTTAGAAGATAGAAATGGGGTCTCGTGGTGTCTTTGGCTCTGTCTGTCTGTCTCTATCTATCTATCTATCTATATCTCTCTCTGTCAATCCGTCTTTGTATCTGTCTGCCCTACCCCCTCTTTCTTTCTGTGTGTGCGTGTGTGTGTGCGTGAGTGTGCAGGGGGGGGGGTCTCTATTTTTCTCTCTCTCTCTATTCCCCTTCCTTATCCCTTCTCACCCTTCCTCCCTCACTCTCACACCAGGAAGGCTACCAGTACTGTAGTAGGGCTCTTGGGAAAAGTTTCTACTTTTGTGATACTATGATGGTGCTGGTCTGATTAGATAGGTAGGAGAGGAGAGAGTGGAGGAGAAAGTGATTAGCATAATGGGAAGCGGAAACTAATGGTCAGCGCGTGGTAATGGGTCAGTGATCAGGATGAGAGACTGTAGTTAATGTGTAGGAAATGGGGTGGGAATAATCGGTTAGTTTGCCAAACATT